TTGGTTGTAGTTATATGTATTTGTTGATGATTTAACTTTCCAATTTGTTCATTTAAAATATTTATAATTTTTAACTTCACTTACTAATTTTCTGAGTGTGTTGGCTTTTTCTGCTGCACATAAATCAATTTGTATCAGTATTATTTATGCACTCTTGTAAGTTGCTCCCAGCTGAGGATGGAAAACAAATTCGTATTAACTCATTTTTAAAACAAATGCATCCAGTTAATGGTCTGTAAGCTGCACAAGTGTGATACTACTTTAATTATCATGGTTCCACCCTATGAAATTCTAGGTTTTGTAGTTTGATGAGAGACCTGAGATTTCCTGCTACAGAGATTTCAAGTGTGTATTTTCCTGAACTGTGTGTGTGTGTGTGTGTCAGGAGTGACTTGAGAAACTGCAAGTCGCTTCTGTGAGAAAATTGGCTGTCTGCAAGGATGTTTCCCAGGGGATGCCCAGATGTTTTACCATCCTTATGGGAGGCTTCTCTCATGTCCCCACATGGGGAGCTGGAGCTGACAGAGGGAGCTCATTTGCACTCTCCCTGTATTTGAACCTCCAACCTGAACTACAGCACTATAACTCTAGCTCAGAATTCTGAGGGCCTCCTTGGTCTACAAATCCCAGGAGTCCGTAGAATGGAACCACAGAAGTTATATTGATATTACCTTGCTACAATTCTGTAGTGCAGAAACCACGAAAGATGGGGGAAAGAATCAAACCAGGGATCTTCTGTGCACAAAAAAAAAAATGGGCTCTGTCATTGAGTTAAGGCCTTCCCACTTGCAGAAGTATGCTAAAATCAAAATGCTTATGGAATATATCACTTGCAGTTGGGAAGGTCTCATTATAGCGGGTGTAATGTGTAGTGGCTTCAGGGTTGGACTTTAATTCTCGATACCAGGGTTCGAATTCCCACCTGACTTCACAGGAAAGTAAAGGCAAGCTCTCTGAACAAATATTTCCCAGAAAGCCTGATGCCCTAGTGTCAGTATTCAGTGGGAAAGACTGGAAGGCATACAACAATAACAAAGTGCAGAACTGCTCTGTCCACTCTGGGGAGTCATTTAAAGAATGTATTTTTGGTGACCACAAGTAAAGTTTTTGTTAACTCCCACTGAAAGTGCAACATAGCTAAGCGGATCTCATTCTTAACTGCAAGTGCCAGGAGCTTCCCATTCATTTGTCATAAAATGAAACTCTTGTTTTGCTCTTTTCTCAAAGGGGTTGACAGTGAGCAGGCCACCCTCCAGGGTCAGCACTGGCATGCCAAAACCTCCTGTTTCTGCTGCAGCCTGTGTCAAAAAGCACTGATAGACCAGCTGGCTATCACTCACAATGGCCACCTCTTCTGCTCTGAAGCCTGCAGCTTAGAGAAGGAATCGGCTTTGTCATTCAGTGGCTCAGATTCCTCTGACTCTGCTTTCATCTCTGCACCGTCCCCTGACTCCACACCCCTCACAAGAGTTAGAAACAGTAGCCCCGGCTGTTCCGCTGAAGCTGTAGAAACCAGCTGCATGGAAATTGAAGCTGCAAATGGTAATGTCTTTGAGCATCAGCTTTCAAAAGCAAGTGCTTTCTGATCAATGAACCTGTCTTAAGTTATTGTATTCCCAATGCAGGGTCAGCTTCTAATTTTGGGGTGGTGAAGCAGGTGGGTTTGGGTACAACAATCTTATTTGGATTCTTTGCTCAGAGTGAATCTGTCTCCCTGCCATTGCTCTTTTTCCTGTGGGCCAAATTTCTGGCACTATGTAGAAGAAAAAGAGCCAGAAAAGTAGAGACCACAGCTCCTTCTTCTTGATTGTTACACGTTTCTTTCATTCTGATAAAGAAGTATCCATGACTTGCTATTTTCTCACAACCACCCTGTAAGTTAGCCTGAGATTTACTAGCCCATTGCCATCCAGTGAGTTTCATAGTTCAGTTGGGATTTGGAGCTGGATCTCCCAAAGCCTATCCAACTGTTCAACTGCTAGATCCCACTGGCCTCCTGGAATGGACAGATAAAAAATAGCTAGGAGAGGCAATGCAGCCACAGGCGTTGGCTTGGGAGGGCTAAAAAGTGGGCCTTCTGATGAGATATAAAGCTTTGGCAGATGGCTAATGATAATAGCTTTACATGGCCTATTGGCAGAAAATATGACTTTTGGTGTCAGATGTGTATCAGCAGGAAAAGAACTGCATAGCCTACTACGGAGGGCAAACTAGGAAAATAGGTTAATGTCACACTGTTTAACCGAACAGCGAAGTCTGTAATTCCTTTATTCTGAATTCCAAAATGCAAAATGGTCCACATAGGTAATTGAAATAGTGACTTTTATTTGTTGAAGGCTCAGTGTGCACAAACTTTGTTTCATGCACAAAGTTTTTTAAATTTATTTATTTATTTTGATACATTCCAACAATCAACAAAATTTTGCCGTACATGACTTATTTCAATATACATTATTCCAAAAGTAAGCATTCCTTAAATGACCTACTGTACCTTCCTTATGTATCACCCAACAAACCCCCCCTCCCCCCCTTCCCCCCACCCCCCCTGGAACAGCAATTCTAAATCTTGTCATTGCATCAATTTAACTGTGTGGAAAGCCTGGTTCAAAATGTTGTATCTATCATCTCCGTCTATTTTGTCTATTAACACAGACCATTTCCTAAACCAATCTTGTTCTATTTGATTATTTATATACTTGTTTTTCCTTTGATTGATAAAATCATTAATTATATATTCTGATAGATAGACAATACAAAATGGGATTTGGAAACCTGGTGGGCCTATCTATCATGCACAGTTATTAAGAATATTGTATGAAATTACCTTCTGGTCATGTGTATAAGCTGTATATGAATTTTGTGTTTAGACTTTGGTCCTATTCCCATAATATCACATAATGTACATATTTGCAAAATCTCAAAAAAATAAATATAAAAAATCAAAGCACTTCTGGATTAAAGTATTCCGGATAAAGGATGCTCAACTTGTACATAATAACATACTTTTCTTATGGAAATATTGTGCCGGTAATTGAAACATTGTGCATGTAAAGACTCTATAAGATCAAAACCCAGAAAATTTGTTTGAAAACTCGCTTATGAAATAGGATAGTACATAAACAGCATGGCTCACAAAATAAGATCTTGAAAACTTGATCTGGATGTAGAGCTGATTTGACTCCAGAAACACCTGACTCATGTGAAGTCGTTGATAATTTGCAAACAAATGTCACTGTAAGAATACCATATAGATTTCATTTAGCAGTGGTCACCACTGTTCTCTTGAATTGTGTTTCTTTTATTTCTTTTCCAGCAATTGAAAACCTTTGCCCAACTGGGAATTCTCCAGTGGGTCCTGAATATGGCAGCCAGGAAGAATCAGGCATTGTCTTCAGGAACAAAATGTTATCCCCACAACTTAGTGAATGTGAGTCATTGACTGATTCTCCACAAAAAGTGGTAGAGATCTCCACATCTCCTTCCCTAGAAGCCTGGAGCTCTGTAAGTCAGAGAGAGGTCCACAGCTTGGGTGCCACTCTCCTACAAGCACCTCAGGAACAAATCCGAGACCATCACTTCAGAAGCAGCCTCTCTGTATCACCCCGTGCATCAGTGTTAACCATGGACTTCCCAGAAAGCCCACTGAAAGGCAGCACAGATGAACAAGAAGCTGCGGTGGAACATGGCGACACTTGGTGCCCAACTTGCTCATCCTCTTCTGATTCGGACTCTGAGCCAGAAGGCTTCTTCTTTGGGAAGCCAATCCCAAAGCCTGCGGCCAGGCGCATTTCTCTGCCAGGTATAGAGCCAGAAACACTTGACAAAGTAACACGGCAGGCAGCCAGAGTGAAGGCAAATAGCAAACACTGTAGCATAGCCTAACAAGGGATAGTGCCCATATATCTGAAGAATAGGTCAGAAGAGAAGGAGGAGGGTAGTGGCATGAGCAGACACTTTATGTAGCAAAATGGCATGGAGAGAGGGAGAGTGGAAGCCCATCTCCCTATGAGCACAAAGCAAAAGACCCAATCAGTTTAGGCTAACTCAGGAACAAGTGGATTCAGGAGACCTGAGAAGCCGGAATGCCATAGTTGTTGAACTGTATTTCCTATCTGTCACTATTGGCTGTGCCAGGGCTGCTAGAAGTTGCAGGCAAACAAAATCTGGAGAGCTGTACGATTCCCTCCTTGAAGTAGATTGTAAATGTCTCCAGTTTGTTAAGCTTTGTATTGCAGAGGTTAGGGAGAAAGGCCTTGCCATTCTTTCTTACCTGCAATTTTAAAGAAAGGCAAATACACTTTTAGACAAACATGCAAAATTTTCTGCATGTGTGACAATAATGGTATTTTGTTGGTATTTTAAAAATCGAAACAGGGCTGGGAATGAAAAGGCTCACAGGTGTATACACATGATATGTACTGGACATGTTAACCCTCATCTTGCTTTGAGTTCAGTCTATTAAGTGTGAAAAGTGAGATATCAACAGTGGCCTTTCAACTTTTTGGAATCCATCCTGGAAATATTTCTGTAATCCATGTGTTCAGCTGTTTCACTATGTTCCCTAAATAGTTGTTTTATGCTGCTCCCTGCTGGCAGCTCTGGGCATATTTTAGTACCCAAGTAATCCTGAAATCCATCAAGAGACATGGCAGACATGTAGTTCTGATAATGCCATTCATGATTCTGAAAACCTTGTGTCTGGGTCAGGGCTAGGAAATGTTATCTTTTGGGAATATGCCTCCCAGAACCCTCCTCTCCCCGTTAGCCAAGCCATAGTGGCTGGTGGATTTTGGAAGTATGTGCAGTCAAGACCTCCATATTTGTGGATCCAGCCTCAATGGCCACAGCTTCTGCTGGAAGACGTATCCTGCAATTTGACTACATCACCTATTAGTCTTTGCCAATTACACCAGTGCTCAGAAAATAATAGGGTACATCGTCCAGAATTTTTGCCAGGCATCAGGTCTCCTGGCTTGGATGCAAGGAATGTAAAGCAAAGCTACAGTATTCATTCAAATTATATTCTTTCTTCCAAGTTCTGCATTAACTGACAAGGCTCTTAGGAACTTTGCTTACTACCACCTCATCCAATATGTGTACAAAAGGTGCTAAGAATATATAGATTAACCTTGCCTTTAATGGCCTTATTTAAATATGTGACTTGGCAACCTTAAACAGGTGGCTAAAAGAACCTAAAAACAATTTTATTCAGAGCTGACTAGAGATAAGGTATACTAACAAATAAAGGCAATTCTAAGGCCCTGCTGTCTCCAGTATTCATTTTAATATCTTCAAAAATTAAAAAAACAAACAAACAAACAAATGATGGAGCATCATATGAAATATTGTACAGCACAGCAGTCCTCCATTTTGTCCATGCCTATAGTAGGACAGTAAGAATGTAAGTGAATTTAAGACATATTGACATATCAAGAGGGGACAGCTGTCCAAAACCTGACCTAACAGGACACTATGACAAAACTGGTTTTCTGCCATATCCGCTAATCATCAAATTGAGTTCCTGACTTTTGCAATTGCTCACAATAGTGCTGTTACCAGAAGGTCTTTTCTCTTTCCCATGCCAACCCCTTTCTCTATCCCTTTGTCCTAAAGTAAAGGCATCAACAAATCTTTCAGGTACTGCCTCCATTTCCAATAGCTGTTACAGTGTAAATTCATATCCCTTGGGGATTTATTATACCTATTGCCAATGGGAGGTTTCTCACCTCACCTAAGTCCAAAACAACAACAACAACAAAAAACACACACAGCTTCCAATTCCTCAGGATTTCTGTCTGGGTAGATTTTTCTATTGAGTCTCCTCTCAGCTGGGTTCAGCTAAGCTGTCAATGTAGTTCTTCAACATGTGTTCATAATAGTCCCCAGTCCTCCTCAGGTTGGCCCTCAGTGCTGATCCGATAGTTGTCTCCATGCTGGGTTCCTTTTCCACTAACATGATGGCCATCACTGCGAAGTTGAGAAGCACCCGCAGATAAGCCTGAAGGAAAGAAAAGATGGTTCAACAGGAGAACCTATCCAACTCTATAGTTTAGAGCAGGGGTCCACAAACCTTTTAAACAGAGGGCCAGGTCACAGTCCCTCAAACTGTTGGAGGGCCAGATCATAATTTGAAAAAAACAAACAAACATGAATTCCAATGCACGTTGCACATACCTTATTTGTAGTGTAAAAAACACTTTAAAACAATACAATAATTAAAATGAGGAACAATGTTAACAAATATAAACTTATTAGTATTTCAATGAGAAATGTGGGCCTGCTTTTGGCTGATGAGATAGGATTGTTGTTATTGTGTGCTTTCAAGTCATTTCAGACTTAGGTTGACCCTGAGTGAGGGCTGGGTAAATGACCTTGGAGGGCCACATCCGGCCCCCAGGCCTTAGTTTGAGGACCCCTGGTTTAGAGGCATCAACCATGGTTGAAAAGGTGATGCTTTTCTATTGAATGCATTGCATCACATGTAACTCAATGTCACAAATTAATGCTCCCTAACTTTCCAGGTCCTCTAAAGGTGAAATCCACAGGTTTGAGAATTTTCCTTTATGGGTATCCTGTTCCTAGTCAATGCATATTTTAGGTTTTTATCGCCCTAGCCCAGAGAAGAAAGAAGCATTGACTATGCCCGCAAGTGGCTCATAGCAATAAAAAATGTACTTCTTGGACAGGGGGGGGGGGGGGGGGGGGGGGGGGCTTCTGTTCATTCCCTGTTTTAAAAAAGCCTGAAACATGGTAAAATGGTTCCAGAAGGCATTGTGTGTGTGTTTGTGTTGGAGAGGGGAAGGTTTGTGTGGAATCAGGCATGGTGGGGACACATTCCATAGTTGCGCACCCTGCCTAAATTCACTGGTCAGCAAAGTGTGGCCTTCCTACTATTTCTGCATTTCCTACTGCCAGAAAATTCAGCAAATATAATCAACAGTAAGGGACTCTGGGAGTTATAGTATTAAGCTTTCAAGGGAGGAACAGTTTTTGAGGGTCAGATACATCTTATGGTGCTATCTCCCACTTCAGTTCTGTTTCTCCCTATCTGATGTATTACAATTGTCATAAGGAAATTCATAAGATAACATTGTTTTTAAAAAGACCAATTTGCATTGCATGAGAGATCCATTTTAAGTATATTTGCTATTGGGGAAGTTTGTGTTTTAGTTACCTCCTCAATCTCTTCCTTTTTTGCCAACACAGCTGCAGAACGGTCCTTCAGTGTCCATGATATGTCTGAAGAGCTGGTTTTCTCTTCAGTGTTGGGGTGTTGAGGGGAACCTTGGACCTCATAATTGTTGGCTGTTGTCTGGATCTAAAAAGATGTCCCAAAGGGATGTAGAGTTAATATGACCTAGAGCAGGAGTTAAGATCATTGTAAGTTTGACATGTGCGCAAAATTAGTGTCTCTTTTGTGTGGTCAGGCAGGCCCAGTCCTTGGCTGCAGGTGTGCTCCAGGCCTACCTGCACACTCTCGGTGACTGACGGAGTGCAGGAAAACAAGCCCATAGCTCAGTTGCAGGCACACTTGGGGCCTGCCTGCATGCCCCATCACACACACACTCTTGGAGAGTGTGGCAGAGCTTTGTGGCAGGGCAGGAAGGCAGGTCTGGAGCTCGGCTGCAGGACTGTCTGCACGCCCTGCCACAAACACACTCTTGGAGAGTGTGGCAGGGCATACAGGCAGGCTCGGTTGCAGGCATGATCCAACACACACAGGCTCTTGGAGAGAGTGGCAGGGCGTGTGTGGCATGGTGTGCGGGCAGGCCCGGAGCATGCCTGCAGCTGAGTGCCTCTTGCTCAAGAGTAAGAGGCACTCAGCTGCAGGCAGTGGCAGGCTTGTGTGCTTTCTGGGCCTACCCGCATGCCCCACCGCACACGCACAAACTGCATTGCATGAGAGATCCATTTTAAGTATGATACATTTTCATTAATTAAAAGTAGCACAAATTCTTTTGGGGAGGTTTGTGTTTTAGTTACCTCCTCAATCTCTTCCTTTGCCAGTACATCTGCAGAACGGTCCTTCAGTGTCCATGATATGGCTGAAGAGCTGGTTTTCTCTTCAGTGTTGGGATGTTGAGGGGAAGTCGTGTCCTCATAATTGCTGGCTGTTTTCTGGATCTAAAAAGAGGTACCAAAGGGTTGCGGAGTTAATATGATCTAGAGCAGGAGTTAAGGTCACTGTAAATCTCTGAAATCTTAGCTAGCACAGGTGAGGAATGCTAGTAGGTACAGTCTAACAATCTGAAGGACACATGTAAATCCTATCCATGGCCTAGAACACAAAGATTACAGTCTTATTTTTGTTCTGTGCAGTAAGGAGTACAACCAAAAGAGGGGCCAGTCTTAAATAAATAAACTGGATTAAAATGTTTTACTGAGACCTCAGTTTACAAATGATAAAAATACAGTTTAGATGACAAATCATTACCTCCACCTCTATGTTTATAATCTAAAAAGAAAAGGATAGCAACATGCCAGATTTTACACATCACTGCAAGTGAACAGCATGGCTAGTTATACAGTCAAGTAACTCATTTTCATTTGAACACATACATCCATTACTAGTTTGAATGCAAACAGCTACATGAGAAGGGTACTGCTGGGTGACACTACCAGATTACGTCACAGGGAAATAAAACTAAGGCTCATTACAAATAACTATGTTTAATGTTACTAAGGTGTATTTTGTGGGTCTCTCAAGTAGTGTGATCTGTCAATAAGACAATAGTATCAGGCAGCTCTCAACGGGATTTTTTGAAAAAAGAAATGTAAGGATCGCTGTACAATGGATAGTACAACAAATCGTGAACTATGTCATACATCTTCCCAGAGACAGAGATGAAGCTAAAAGGTCAATTCTTTCTGAAATTGTGTTTTCCAAATTGGTTAGACAGATAGGAATAGTGCGGGGTTGTAGCACAGCTGGTTAATCTCCAGCAGCAATAGATCACTTCCAACCTGAAGGTGGCATGTTCGAAGCCCCAGTTGGATTGAGCACCTGACTGTTAAGCCTAGCTTACTGTCCACCTAGGCAGTCCAAAAACAGCTGAGCTCTGAGTAGGGAAATTAGGGACCACTTAAAGCAGGGAGGTATTTTAGGATACCATAAAAATGCCAGCAATCAAAGAACAAGGAGGAAATACAATCAAAATGACTTGGTATCATAGTGGATGAAGCGACAACACCCACCTGTGGCCGGAATCAAGTATTAACAACCAGGTGCCGAAGTTGGAAATGCCAAAACACCTCTCTCTGTCTGTCTTGTATGTCTAAAAATGGCATTGAATGTTTGCCGTGTATGTGTGCATTGTGATCCACCCTGAGTCTCCTTCAGAGTGAGAATGGCGAATATAAATACTGTAAATAAATAAATCCTCCCATCTATTCACATGCATATGCAAATAATGTTTCATCACATTAATCCCACAGCTGATTTAAGTAAAATCCAGATAGTGTTAACTACCTTGACAAACTTTGTTCCTTTCCCTGAAGATGATCTCTTCTTCTTTGCCATTTCTTCAGGCTGCATCACTTTTTCTTTCTTTGCCTTCTGTGAAAGGATTTTCATTTTACCAGCCAGGAGGAGAACAGGAGACAGAGTCAAGATCTAGAAAAAATATTCTGACATATCCCATCACCACAATCTTCCACATAAAATGTCCTGCCCATTGGCGGGGTGGGGGGTGGGAAGCAAGGCTCTCTTTTGTAGATTGACTGAGTATGTATGTATGTATGTATGCATGTGCATGTGATGATGTGTACTGTGACAAATGAGAGCAGACTTTGAGCATCATTTATTAGGAATCAGATTGAATCCAATTTGACTACTACCATCCTTTGCAACATATTTAACTGACATGTCAGAGCCACAGTTAAGAGCTTAATAAAGACACCCTTCGAAGCAAGAAGAGTATAACCACTTTCTCTTACCACAGTGTGACTCGCTAGAGAGTTGAGATGGGACACTTTTTCACTTCTTTCTGAAAAAAAAGAAGAAAAGAACAAACCTTTCTGATTTGTGGACTTAGCTGTCTAGTCTAGGACACACAATACAAAATGAGATTTTAATGAGCATTAAATTACAATTTACAATTACTGCATTTTTAACTATGAATCAGTTTGCATTGAAGGAAGTACATCTTCGTCAATTAAATTTTCTTTCATAAGTTTTAAATTTTGGCCGATTTAAAGGGAAATCAAATGAATTCATGGAGGATAAGGCTATGAATGGGTGTTAGTGATCAAGATTGCACTACAGTCAAAGGCAGTATGCATCTGCACGGCAGGTGCTGGGGAACACAAGTCGGTAGATGTTATCGCATTCATGTCCTGGTGGATTAAAAAAAAAACCATCTGGCTGGCAACTGAGATATCTGAAGGCTGAGCTCGACAGCCTGTAAATATGGCCTCAGGGCAATTCTATTCCCTGAGAGATGTCTAGCAGGCATCATCACATGAAGAAGAATGTTGCACCCTCAAAGTAGACCAACTTTAAGACATCAAACTCAGTCCCTTCAGTGAAAACACAAAAACTCACTTTCAAAACTGTTTTAGGCACACATCCTAAATGCCAAGAAAAACAAACCTTTGGGGGAATGGCAGTTGTTTATTTTATGGGGCAAGTAACGAGGAGACAAATCACTTTCCTTGGGATTCTCTTGGGATAGACTGCAGTCATATTTATAATCACAGTAACAATGGTAACAGCTTCCAACATAATCACTTCTCCTGTTGAAAGAAATACAAGGATTACAGATGAGGAGTGGCAACCATCTGCCTTCAATACACCATCTAGAAACCAACTATTCAAAACTAGTAATAATAATAACAACTTTTTTTGTACCTTGCCCCATCTCCCCAAGGGACTCTGGGCAGCTCACACCATGAATAAATACAGTACAATACATAAAAATAAAATAAACAAATAATACAAATAATTACTATTACAATTTCCCTTCAATCTGGTGAAAATTAGGGTGAATCACTAAGACCTACTAGTATATGGATGAGCAGAAGCCAGGCTTGTGAATCTATTTTGCTTTTTACTACAACCCACAAATCAGATTAGAGTTCAATAATAATGACTCCAGGAATTGGTTCTAAGCACAAAAATGGGAAGGAGCATATAATTATTGCATGTAAAAATCCACTTCATATCATCTCACTTTTCTTTACTTCAGCAATACAATTTAGTGTCACAGGTGGAAATTCTTTCTGATGCTACCAAATAATTTTCTTGATCTGCTTGACACTGAATGGAAATTACCAGTAATCTTCTAGCTGGTTCAGACTTACCTCCTCCTGCCCACCCATTTTGGTGCTTTGGAATTCCCTATTTTTCACAAATTGAATACTAGTACCATCTTCCAAGCGCTAACTATGTGGCAGCATTTCTCCCTGCTTATCTCTGATTCCATGTTTTTCCATGTCTTGTGCCGTTATTATTTTATTTGATCCCCACACTAACAATTTCCTAAACAGAACAGATAGTAGTGGCAGGAATTATGCTTCTCTCACCTCTGAGGGGACCCTGAATGTTGCTCTCGTCTGTGGGGAGATGGTTTGCACTTACGAGAGGACTTCAAACTCTGCTCTTGCCTGCAAAATGATCCCAATTTCTGTTTTTTCTTGTGATCAGATCTCAATTCCTGTTCTTGCCTATGAGGGGATCTTGACCTCAAAATGCAGAACTCCCTTGGCACACAGTTTTGGCTCGAATACTCTGATGCACTGCTGTGGTGAATTTTTGATGAACATGAATGACAGACCAGTAGTCTTTCAATATCACATTTTCGGTCACAAATGACATGTGTCTGAGGCAGGGAGTGTGAAGATAACTGTAAAGAGAACAGAGTTATCAAACAAGGCACAAGAGTGATCCACAAAAATCCCCTTTCCCCCTTTCTTTGTCTTTGGAGTAGCCAATGAACACTTTTGTGTTAAGGGGGGAAACCTGAATAATTTTTGATCTGAACTAGAGCTTTGGCTCAACTGCCGATTGATTCTTGGACTTCTTAAATCATCTCTTGTTCTGCTATTACATCCTTTCTTTTCTCGGAATCTCATTTTAGGATATCTATAACTGTTTTGGGGTTGAGCAGGGAATAAAGTTGTCAATAACACATTTGATTTTTTACAATTTAATTGGTTTATTAATGTAAATGAATGAAGCTTTTTATCTTAAGAGATTTTAAAAATACATCCATATCTAGATCAAGCAATGTCTTGGGCAAGTACCTTTTAGAATAAAATGCATGAAATTCCTTAACACCGCCCCCCCCAAAGTTTCTACAGTTCCACCTACTCCATGAATTTCCTAGTTAGTAACATTTTTCTGCTCCCCCCCCCCCCCCCCCAACTGAGACTGTAAGTCTGGTCCAAATTGCCAAATTAACAATTTATTTTCACTCATATATTCTAAGATTTAATGAAAACAGTGAGACTTCTAGACACAATATGGAAGTTTGGGAAACATGTTCTTAGCCCTCCCTTTCAATTCATTTCTGAGTCATAGGATTCTGAAGAGTATATTAACTGCTTTTCCTTTTTGGTTGTTGTCAATTCAATGCTAATTTCTTAATTGTGATTCCTAGGGACACAAATGGATTCAAGATTCAAAAAATATACCCACCTAGTTTGTCAAGGAACAAAGACACAAAGAGTTCCAGCAGACTTACCAATTGCATTTCTGCTTTTTGCACCAGGACAGGCACATAATGAATACTACTGAAGTTAAGTGGGAAGCCAGTAAGGCCAAGATCCTTTTGTCCAGGACTTGCTTCTTTGTGGCTGCCTGTGCTTGGAGTCTGCATTGGTTTAGAACAAAATAGAGGGAGTCCCCGAGTTACAATCATTCGACTTACAAACAACTCATAGTGAAGAACAGGGTGAGAGCAATCTACTCCTCGGAAGAGACATTAATTCCTTAAAGAGTTATCATACAGAAAAGGGGTCTCAACTGAAGCTTTACCATCAATCCTTGTTTCCACAACAAACCAATTTTTTCGAAAACCTTGTTTCCACAGGCAGTTACATTTTTCAAAATCCAATTGTCACAGGGACAGAAAGTGAGGTGAAATCTTCTGAACAGGGGCACAGAAAGCAAAACAAACACAACAGGGGTGTTAATCCTTCCCTATGCTACCCAAAATGTGTGTGTGTGTGTTTGGCTGGATTTACACTTAAAATGTACCTGTTCTGAATTACTTACAAATTCAATTTAAGAACAAACCTATAAAACCTATCTTGTTTGTAACAGTGGATATCTGGATTAGCACTATTTCTCCACTTCTGTCTTGCCAATTTACCTTCACTGAATTGTCATTTGGGGCTTGATTCGTGGCACCTTCCTCAGGAGGAGCATGCTGAATACATGTCTCATCCCTCTGAACAGTAGGCTGCTTCTGTATAATGAGGGACGTGGGTTATGGAGAATTTTGCACCTTAGCAACAACCTTATAGTTAGAACAAAAACACGGAACATACTTTATCCATTATTGTTTTTCACATCCATTCACTGAGAGAAAATCAGAGAATAATAATGTTACAAATGACAGAACAATCCAATAAAATAGTCATGAAAATAAAAGGAACCAAACTATTGATGAGCCTGCTCTCAAACTAAGGAAGTTCTTTGACAAGCAAAACAAAAAGGGACCCTGGCTCATACCAATATAGAATTTTGTTTTACTGTAGAATGATGTTCTGTAGTCTCGGGTGTTGTTTGCTCTTCTACAGGTGCTTCAGAAGATAGAATAGGTTGGGTCTGGTTGGCAGAAGATTCTGCAGCCTCACTGTCTCTGTCTCTCTCTTTCATCTGTAGAGATTGTGGAGGCTGTAAAATTGAGAAATTATTCAATAGGGCTGCATAGAAGTTTACATGAAGTAGAATATCCTTACATCCAAAAGATTTTCTACCATCTTATTATAAAGGATTAAATTGCTCACCATTCTCTTTAAAAGACACTTAGCCTAAACACTTAGTCTAACACTTAGGCACTAACAAAACAGAACTGTCAACATTAACAGTACACAAAATGCAGCCCTGCAGCTATTCTTTAAAAAGTGCTTGAAAGCACACAACTATAATACTAAATCAACACAGAAAACGTAAATAATATATCTTTGATTTGTACTACACCAAGGGGAGCCCTGGGAATTTTGAATATTTTAATTTGGAGACATTTGATGGAAGACATTTCAATATTTGGGTTAATACACCACTTTTGTATCCTCTTTGCTGTCTGTGTTTGAAGTCTGCATTAATTTGAAACAAGAGAAAGGATACAATTTTCTAGAGCACATGTGTAATGACTCTTACCTAATAGGCCAGAGTAGAACCTGGGAAGACAGTAGGGCAAACCTCCATTTTGAGAGTGTCTGCCAGTAAAGCAGCCATCTTGAAGGAGAATAGATAGGAGATGGGAGGAGTTGGAGGTCTCCTGGGATTGGCTAGAGCAGAGGAGGAGGAGCCAAGTCTTGGGAGAGAAAAGATTTCAGCTTCTGAGAGAGAAGAGAATTGGGAACTGGAAGCTGGGGAGGAAAGAAGTGTCTTTTGAGACTGGGTTTTTTCTGAGAGAGTGTGTTTGTGTCAGGCAGGGCTGAATAACTGGCAAGAAAGGTCAAGCAGCATCCTGATTACCTGTGGGAGACAACACAAGGGATTTGCTCTCTAGTTTGAGTAAGTTAGCTGGAAGGACTCTGGGGAGAGTTAGCTAATTATTCAGAAGACAGCCTGGGATAGGTTAGTCAAGAACTCATTGCTATTTCACTCAAGTAGAGTGAGGGATTTTTTTGTAACTAGTAGCTATATCTGTGAGATTAGCTCTTTTTGTAACCAAGTCAAGAAACTCTGTTCTAAGCAACCATTAAGATATTGTGCTATAGTAACAAGTCAAGTGTTTGTGCCTCTCAAAAGAAGAAGTCAGTTGTCTGTTTATTTTTATAAATAAACCTTTTCTATGTTTGACTTTTAAGAAGCCTCTATCGTTACTCATTCTATCAATAGTCCTGGGATAAAATTTGCCAGGCAGTTTAACATCCTGATACCACAGAAAGGTCTCTTATCCAAGCAGTCATTTTTGAGAGCTAAGGGTAGTTAGGGCAGAAGAGGGAAAAATTTACCTCAGAGCGGCATTTTAAAATTCTAAGACAGCTTGGGTTGGTGGCAGCATATAAATATAAGACAAGTACTTTACACTCTACCATTACATATAATATATAACACCGTATCGCTACCATACTAGTGTCCAGTGGTGTGATATTACATATGATCCTTTATATTGGTGCCCAGCGGCGCGATATACATTGATATTTGATGTTAAATTATTTTGGGATGGATCCTCCCTCTTTTACAACATGCATGACTAGTGCCCCAGTTGATATCTGGATCAACACTGTTTCTCCACCTCTTTCTTGCCAGTTTACCTCCACTGTGTGACCATCTAGGACCTGGCTCTGGGCACCTTCTTTAGAAACAACATGCTGAATATATTTCTCATCTGTCTGAACAGTAGGCTGGTTCTGTAATAGGGTTAACAGGAAGAAAAAGATGAGGTTTGTTGACAACTTCATTACAGATCAATATGATTAATGACAAATAGAAGGCATTGCTACTAGTTAACCGGGATTCCAGATTAATTGAGTAAGTTAACAAGCTCCAGCCTTTGGAATTCCTATATATACCATTAGTTCCCCCGTCCCACCAATAAAAATGACAGTTATTTAACACTAGTTCAATTGATCCTTTTCTAATAGATTGGTGACCATTTGTGGTCTGCCACAGAAATAGTTTTTTCTACAGCCACATGTGGCCTAATGTGTCCATGTTGGTCTCTAGATTGCCTGACTAGATTCCAGCTGCAGAAAAGAGAGTGATCATGGGTTTGCAGGAATTAGACTCTACATTTGGCAATAATAAGCTAATAAATTCATGATTAGAACATCATCCATTATTGCTTTTCACAACCATTCGCTAATAAAAACTTGATTAATGGCAATGTTACAAACTGGAGGACCATCCAGTAATGTGGTCATGGATATAAAGGCACCCAACTCCCCAAACCATTTATAAGCCTGTTTCCAATTTTCCAATTAAAGATAAGCTACTTTGACAACCAAAACAAAAAGGGACACTGCTCATACCAAAATAGAATTTTGTTTTGCTGTAGGCTGACGTTCTGTTGTCTCAAGTGTGGTTTGCTCTTCTACAGGTGCTTCAGGAGGTGGAATAGGTAGGGTCTGGTTGGCAGAAGATTTTGCAGCCTCCCTATCTCTCCATTTCATTTGTAGAGTCTGTACAAGAATGTGTCTTTATTTAATATGGCTGCATATAAGTATCCTTACATCCTCGAGATTTTTTTTACCATCGTATTACTAAAGGTTAAAGTTCCTTACCATTCTCGTTAAATGACAACTAGACACTAACAAAATAGAGCTATCAACATCAACAGTACACAAAATGCAGCATTGTATAAAGGTAAAGGTTTTCCCTTGACATTAAGTCTAGTCATTTTCGACTCTGGGAGGTGGTGCTCATCTCCATTTCTAAGACAAAGATCCGGCGTTGTCTGTAGACACCTCCTAGATCGTGTGGCTGGTATGGAGTGCTATTACCTTCCCGCTGAGAAAGTACCTATTGATCTACTCACATATGCATTTTTTCAAACTGCTAGATTGGCAGAAGCTGGGTCTAATAGCAGAAGATCACTCCACACCCTGGATTTGAACCACTGATCATTGCTTGGATCAAGGTAATTTATGACAAACAGAAGGCAGAACTATTGGGGAGTCAAGATTAATGGAGCAAGTTAGAATGGTGTTATACTTGTGGGTCTCCAGGTGTTTTGGATGTCATGTTCCAGAATTCCTAACCATTGGATAAAACTGGCCAGGGCTTCTTGAAGTTGAAGTCTGAAACATTTGGAGGGCCACAGGTTTGACACTTTTGACTTAATGGAACTTGAAACTTTGGAATTTATCCCCCGTGAGGCGAGGGAGAGAGACTATTTCCTCTTTAAAAACCTCTTTGCTGCCTTATACTGATTTAGTTTCTTCTTTTATATTGGCTGGGACTTTCTGTGTGCTGTTAAACCTTTGTACTTTATATCACAGGCAATGAAACACTCTTGTGTATAACAAAGTAACTCAGTTTATTTATAACTTCTGGCTCCAACGCTTGTGGTTACATTTGTGTTTTGTTGCAATCTTGAGACTTACAGTCAGTATCATTTACTTGGTTAACTTTTCTGAATGAACTACCAATATTTTACATTCACAAACATGTTACTTGCTTTACACACTCTTGGTTGAATTATATTCTGAACTAAGGCAACACTAGCCTTCTTTATGTTCCTTAAAACTCGAGATGTATTTAACTAACTGCTTCTCTATGTCAGAAGTCTTTAACACATCTTCATAACTGCTTATTTCTATCAGGCACTCAAAAACCAACTCTCCTCTTCTCACACAGATTCCTAACTCTCTCTAACTGCCTCTTTCAGAACCATGGCTCCACCCCTTTGAAATGTTCAGCTTTGCTCTCCCCAACTGTCATTTTGGCCTAGCAGCCTTTTCAAATCCTGGGCCTACACTAATCTGCATATGACCAATCGGCTTCACATATGCAAATAAATCCTATTTGTGCTGTTGCTACCCTGTATGTGCCTATTCTTCCCTATCTGCCATATGTAAATATAGAGCTATACACCAAAACTTTAACATAGACTAGCAATTTCACTACACCCCCCCCCCCGAAAATAATGTAGTTATTTAATACCCGTTCAATTGCTTCTTTTCCTTCAGACTGGTGATCATCTGTGTTCTCAGACAGAAATGGTATTTCTACAGCCACAGGTGAGATAACATCTCCAAGTCGGTCTCTAGATTGCCTGACTTCACACTGCAGAAAAGAGTGGTCATGAATTTGTAGGAATCAGACACTACATTTGCCAATAATAAGCAAAAGAAAATGCCTTCATGGTTAGCACAAGAACATCCCGCATACTTCATCCATCATGGTTTTCACAACGATTCACTGATAGAAAATTACCCAATTATAATGTTAAAAATGACAGCAAACTCCAAGAAAATGGTTGTGTAAATAAGGGGACCAGCCCTCCAACCATTGACGAGCTTTCGCCTAATTTTAGGATGCAAACTGTTCTACTTTACTAATCAAAGCAAAAAGGGACAACGGCTCATACCGGAGGGCCACAGGTTTGACACTTCTGATTTAATGAAACTTGAAACTTTGGACTTTATCCCCCACCCCCCGAAAAATAATGTAGTTATTTAATACCCGTTCAATTGCTTCTTTTCCTTCAGACTGGTGACCATCTGTGTTCCCAGACAGAAATGGTATTTCTACAGCCACAGGTGAGCTAACATCTCCAACTCGGTCTCTAGATTGCCTGACTTCAAGCTGCAGAAAAGAGTGGTCATGAATTTGTAGGAATCAGACACTACATTTGCCAATAATAAGCAAAAGAAAATGCCTTCATGGTTAGAACAGGAACATCCAACATACTTCATCCATGATGGTTTTCACAACGATTCACTGATAGAAAATTACCCAATTATAATGTTAAAAATGACAGCAAACTCCAAGAAAATGATTGTGTAAATAACGGCACCAGCCCTCCAACCGTTGACCAGCCTTCGCCTAATTTTAGGTCACAAACTGTTCTACTTTACTAATCAAAGCAAAAAGGGACACCGGCTCATACCGGAGGGCCACAGGTTTGACACTTTTAACTTAATGGAACTTGAAACTTTGGATTTTATCCCCTGCCCCCCGAAAAATAATGTAGTTATTTAATACCCYTTCAATMGCTTCTTTTCCTTCAGACTGGTGACCATCTGTGTTCTCAGACAGAAATGGTATTTCTACAGCCACAGGTGAGATAACATCTCCAAGTCGGTCTCTAGATTGCCTGACTTCACACTGCAGAAAAGAGTGGTCATGAATTTGTAGGAATCAGACACTACATTTGCCAATAATAAGCAAAAGAAAATGCTTTCATGGTTAGCACAAGAACATCCAACATACTTCATCCATCATGGTTTTCACAATGATTCACTGATAGAAAATTACCCAATTATAATGTTAAAAATGACAGCAAACTCCAAGAAAATGGTTATGTAAATAAGGGCACCAGCCCTCCAACCGTTGACCAGCCTTCGCCTAATTTTAGGTCACAAACTGTTCAACTTTACTAATCAAAGCAAAAAGGGACACCGGCTCATACCGGAGGGCCACAGGTTTGACACTTTTCACTTAATGGAACTTGAAACTTTGGATTTTATCTCCTCCCCCTCCGCCCCCCGAAAAATAATGTAGTTATTTAATACCCGTTCAATTGCTTCTTTTCCTTCAGACTGGTGACCATCTGTGTTCTCAGACAGAAATGGTATTTCTACAGCCACAGGTGAGATAACATCTCCACGTCGGTCTCTAGATTGCTTGACTTCAAGCTGCAGAAAAGAGTGATCATGAATTTGTAGGAATCAGACACTACATTTGCCAATAATAAGCAAAAGAAAATGTCTTCATGGTTAGAACAAGAATATCCAACATGCTTCATCCGTCATGGTTTTCACAATGATTCACTGATAGAAAATCACCCAAGTATAATGTTAAAAATGACAGCGAACTCCAAGAAAATGGTTGTGTAAATAAGGGCACCAACCCTCCAACTGTTGACCAGCCTTCGCCTAATTTTAGGTCACAAACTGTTCTACTTTACTTATCAAAGCAAAAAGGGACACCGGCTCATACCGGAGGGCCACAGGTTTGACACTTTTGACTTAATGGAACTTGAAACTTTGGATTTTATCTCCCCTCCCCTGAAAAATTGAATAATGTAGTTATTTAATACCCGTTCAATTGCTTCTTTTCCTTCAGACTGGTGATCATCTGTGTTCTCAAATAGAAATGGTATTTCTACAGCTACAGGTGAGATAACATCTCCAAGTCGGTCTCTAGATTGCCTGACTTCACACTGCAGAAAAGAGTGGTCATGAATTTGTAGGAATCAAGCAGTACATTTGCCAATCATAAGCAAATGAAAATACCTTCATGGTTAAAACAAGAACATCCAACATACTTCATCCATGATGGTTTTCACAATGATTCACTGATAGAAAATTACCCAAGTATAATGTTAAAAATGACAGCAAACTCCAAGAAAATGGTTGTGTAAATAATGGCACCAACCCTCCAACCGTTGACCAGCCTTCTCCTAATTTTAGGTCACAACCTGTTCTACTTTACTAATCAAAGCAAAAAGGGACACCGGCTCCTACCAACACATATTTTTCTTTTGCTTTAGCATGAAGTTCTTCTGTGTTCTCAGGTGCATGTAGAGGTGCTTCAGGAAATAGAACAGGATGGGTCTGGTTGGCAGAAGATTCTGCAGCTGTACTGTGCCTTTCTCTCATCTATAGAGATTTGGGGGAAAGTACAAGTATGAGAGAGGCAGAGAGAAAGAAAAAAAAGCACCCAGTTTTCAGTTTCAAGAATTTAAACCTTCAAAACCTAAGCAGATATTGTCAGCACCACATAGCCACTGCCTCATCCTTGATTTCAAGTGTAAATTTAAAAGATTGTTGGCTTCTTTTAATATGTCCACATTTTTTGCACATCCTCACTGGGTGTTACATCATTCTTATTAAATCCGCATTTAAATTGATTAATTGCTGTACCAAAGCTTTGCTGACATCATTAAAATTATGAATAAGCATTATTATCAAAATTCAAAAGGCATAAATCCTTATGTTCCAATATTCTTCTGAGTACCCAGTCATGTTCTTGTGAATCTCTGATTCAACTTTTAATTAAAGGAAACATCCTAGATTGTTTGGCTTTACAAGCAAAATAAAAGAAAATGCAAAAGTGTATCAGAAATGCACACAAAAAGAGCAGGAATGAGTGATGTGAGCTTTAAAAATAACATTATTCATAATTATAGAGTTTCAAGTCACAAAACATTACAAAAGCAATTCTTTGATTGTTATGTTTGTTCTGTATAATTTCATAGTCCCAGAGTCCAGAGTCCGTTGAGATAAACCAGGGGTCCTCAAACTACGGCCCGAGGGCTGGATATGGCCCTCCAAGGTAATTTATCCGGCCCATGCTCAGGGTCAACCTAAGTCTGAAATGACTTGAAAGCACACAACAGCAACCACAATGCTATCTCATCAGCCAAAACAGCCCCACACTTTCCACTGAAATACTAATAAGCTTATATTTGTTAAAATTGATCTTCATTTTAATTATTGTATTGCTTTTAAGTGTTTTTGCACTACAAATAAGATATGTGCAACATGCATAGGAATTCATTCATGTTTTTTTTCAATTTATAATCCGGCCCTCCAACAGCATGAGAGACTGTGGCCTGGCCCTCTGTTTAAAAAGTTTGAGGACCCTTGAGATAAACTCTTAAAAGTACATACTTAATTTGGGGGGGGGGGTGTCATTGTAAAGCCTTTATTAAGTTTTAAAAGAAGAAAGTGTAGCAGTTTCTTGTAGCATAAAAAGGAGGAAGAGAATGAACAATAAAAGAACTGTGGCAGCACTTTTAAGGTTATCTGGTTTTTATTACTGCATAAGCTTTCATGGATGTAAATCCACTTTTTCAAATGCACTGCTTATTAAAGTCCATGCATGGGCAATGTAAAAACAGTAACAGGAAGATGTTGGAGAAGCAATAACTTCAAAGGCATTACTTCAGCCAGGCTTTCAGAGGGAACTGCTTATTTCAGTGGTTCTTAACCTGTGGGCCACGAACCACCAGTGGGCTGCGAAGATGAAAATCTGGTCCGTGAGCCTCCTTCCTCTTCATTTTTTAAATTTTATTTTATTTATTTCCACTCCTTTCACGCCACCTGCTACCCCTTCCCTGTCGCTGACCATGGAATATGTTCTGTCTCAGAAACTAGAGCTGATTTGGTCTATCCAATGCAATTTCTGGATCAGCACCCCAAACTGGATCTAAAGTTGACCAAAAACTGATGTGTAACCCTTTTGGTACTAATGTTGGAGAGTGGTCCCTGGTCAAAGTCATCGCTGGTCAAAAAAAAAAAAGGTTGGGAACCACTGGCTTAGTTGGAATGTCTATGGGCTTTCAACAGCACTGAAGATCATATAGAGGGATTGTACAAAGGGCAGCATGGGGTAGAGAGGCAACAGTCCTTGAGGAACAGAAATATGGTGGGATACTAAAGGATGACATGGAAGCAACTAGAAGGGAAGCTTTGTGTTATATTCATGAAAGAGAAGTAATGGCATATTCCCTTTCCTAAAACTAAAGAGCAAAGAAAAAATGACTCATCATACCAAGATCTTTTACAATTTGAAAATGGCCTGTTGTAGTAGAGCCTGTGAGTAACGATGCTACCAGTAGTGAGGACACTAGAAGGGGAAAACGGGTTACTCGGGAGCAGGAGTCTGATGAGGAGCAACAAAGAAAGAGGATCCAAGATATACTTAATGCTCCCACAGATGAGGAATCATTCTTGGGCTTTTCTGGGGACGATGGGTCAACAAGTGAGGAGGAGAGAGGAAACATAATGGAATGGTCTAAGGGAAGGAAAAGGACTACTTGGGAGAAGGAGTCTGATGAGGAGCAACAATAGGAGTTCACGTGTGAAATCAAGAACAGTTTCAAGGGATAACGACGGGGCGGAGGTCAGCTCAGATTCTTCTGATGATGTGTAAGATAAAAGTAGGCTCTGAAATGGGGAATCTTTGCAGAAGGCAAAGTGTTGGATTTCGTGTTGGTATTGGGTCCTGGATCTACAGGTTATTGCTTCCATTTGTGTGTGTTTTCGACTCGGCTTGGATTCCTGTGAGTGCTGATTTCTTCCTTCCATGACTTTGTCGTTTGACTACGACGCTGACTACGTGGATCTTTGGAACTTCGCTACTTTGAATTTGGCCTGCTTCGACCTCGGACTTCGTTTGACTATGCTTTCTTCCCTGCAGCCCTTGTGTTTGTTAACTGTATACTTGCTGTGCTATTTTGGGGAGCTTTTGCACTGCTTTGTTTTAATCCGGTTCTTTTCTCCAGATAATCCGGATTATTGCTTCAGTTATCTCTTTTGAACCAGGACTGGTATCTGCTTTTGAGTTTGACACTGAGTTAAGTGTCTCTGAGCCCTTTTTCTTTGCTTAATAAACTTTACTTTGGAACTAATTCTGAGTCTGGCCCTTTAATTCCAACATGGCCACTTTGAATTAAGTCAAATGAAGATTTTTTGAAGAAAGAGCCACACTTTCCAATTATTTTCTTATAGACAGATTTTTGAAAGATTTGGATTAGATACAAAATTATATGATTCTGAACTGAACAAATTGTTCAGTTGTAACAAATTATTACAAAGAAATTTCATGTGTGTTTATCTAACCAAAAAGAAAGGATAATTGTTCATACCGATACAGGTTCTTTCCCCATGTTATGAGGGTCTTTTTTAATAGATGATGTTTGTTCTGTAGGTGTTTTGGCTGGTGGCACAGGGGAAGTGTGGCTGGAAGACACTTCAGCTGTCTGGCTGTTTTTCAATGGGATCTGCATTTTTGAAAAAGCCCCAAAAAACAATACCACTATGTAACACAATTTTTGTTCCTGGGTTACAAAAAGTCATTTTCTAATTGGTTCTATCATGGAAAAGGTCTCTAGAGCTGCACAGAAAGACTTTGAGGGATGTCATACAGCTCCCAATATGACTATAGGAATTAATCTGCACTGGTGCATCCCTTACCGTCTTTAAGCAGGGGGGACGTGAAGCATGCTGGTATCTACCTGGAGACAGAGAAAAAATAGTCTGAACAAAATTAAATAGAAAGCTGAGAAGTCTGAATGCTTGCAGTAACTCCGTTTGGCTCATTCTTTTCAGGACAAATGTTAATAATAATAATATTTTCATAGAAACATAACAATCAAACACAAGAACATAAATAAAGGGGGAGGGGGGCTACTCCATCTAGCCAGAACCTGACTGACAACCGTCACTCAGAGGACCTTTTCATTGGCCCCTCCTAAACTGTGGAATGACCAAAATTAGCCATCAGAATTTAAGATACAACTGCTCTTATGGCAGGCCTACCTAGTCAATGTTGACTTTTGAATTTTAACCTACATGTTATTGATATGGTCTTGTGTATTTTGTTATAAGTATTTTAATAGTGTTGTGTTTTAAGAAATTATACCAAGATAAAGATCTAATAGGAATAAAAGTGAAAAGCCAAAAATACAAAATAAAGTTATTTGTGGATGACAGTGTCCTAATGTTGGAAGACGCATTAAAGGATTTTCCTAAAATGATAGACCATAACCAATTTGGACTAGTTGCTGGACTCTTGATCAATTTACGTAAAACAAAAATATTAGCAGCAAAGATAAATAACAAAGAAAAAGATGAACTAAGACAGAAAACAGAAAGTGAAACAGCCACCCAAGTAAAATATATAGGATATATATTATATAACGATGAGTAATTAGGATTTTATATAAATATTCTGCCAAAAGGCATGCCATTTCGGGGTCCATTTTTGGCTAACCCTAATTCTGTTTACTGTGAAGTTACTTGAATCAGGAGGAGTGCTGCCATTTTCATTTGGTAAAGATTCAGCCCATTGGCTGCAATGGGAAGCTTTAAAGGCTCATCCATTTTAAGGCCTATCTGCATGAAATCTACCTCCATTTTAGAACAAATTTACAACTGCAGGCCTGCCAAGTTTCGGAACATATCAATTTCTGAAAACATACCGATTTTTTTAACCATAACATTTTAAAAATAAGACAAATTTCAAGAGAGGGTTCTAGGAATTGTAGTTGCCGGTTGTGTACATTCTCAGCCAATCGGAGCATGGACACAATCAGGTCTTTTATTGGGTGAGAGATAGAGAGAAAAAACCTCCAACTCCCATTATGCTCCGAGAGGAATTCAGAGACTTTAAATGTTCGCCCATGCAAGTGCTGCCGGGAAAGCAAATTCCCAGCAGGACCCTCTCTAGAGGAGGGGCCTAGGGAACTTTTCCACTGCCAGGGAGGGAGAAAAGATGCTACAGTTAATCCCTTCTTCTACAGGAGCCTCTGAAGCAGACCCCTGCCTCAGGTATATGGCAGACTTAACTCCATCCTTTCCAGTAGCCGATAAATCCGGCTCTCTTGATCTGTTTTGGCCGTCTTTCCAGTTCCGTCCTCCCTGTTCTGTTTTCGGGGTATTATACGAAATGAACCACCGAATATTACAAATCACTTTCAGTCAAACTGATCCAGGCCCAAGCCTAATAAAAATGACGATAAGAAAACCTGGAATTAAAATTTAAAAGATTTGAACAAATGGATGAATTTAGAGATCTATTTTCTAGAACAGAGCGACAATAAAATGAACATCCTACCCAAACCATTCTTCTTGTTCCAAAATATCCCAACAGATATTAAGAAAAAAGATAATAAGAACTGGAATGCTGAACTTACAAGATTTATCTGGAAAGGGAAAAAACCTAGAATAAATAAAAAATGTACAACATGCTAAACAAAGACGAGAACTTGCCCTCACAAACTTAAAACTTTACCGAGAAGCAGCTATACTGAATTGGTTAAAAGAACGGCTCCATTTTGATAATCAAAGCCTCATAGTTCTTGAAGGAGCAGATTTAAAACTTGTCTTGCATGCAGACCTAAATTTATGGAAAAGTGGCAGAAGACTCAAGCTTTAACAATCACCCAATTAGGAACATTCTGATGAGAACTTGGAACAAGAACAAAAGAAAAAAATTACACAAAAAAACCACAATGGCCTTTTATTTAGGAAGCCTTTAAGCAAAGTGGATATCCCAAGGGTAACACAAGATGGGTAAAAAGATTTGGCAATGTTCCATTTTCTCTCTAATACACACATATTTTCTTTCTCTCAAACCCAACCTTTTGTGAAGCTGGTTTTTGATCTTCTGTAAGAATGGCCACGACAATGACGTTCCTCAGGAAAATCGCTTCGGGGACGTCTCCAACCACGGCCTCGGTAAGAACCTCTGTATTGGCCAAAGTTGTCACCATTTGCTCTGCTAAGACACAAATGTCCATAACCTTCTGTATAATTTGTTGCCACTCTCTTTAATAAAAGTCACTGCAGGCCTGAAAAGCTGGGCAAGATACAGTAAATTATGGTAAGTATACTGATATTTGTTCAATAGCTCCCAGTCATAAATTCAACTTATAGTGACAGTGCTAGCCATTACAAATCACCTTCCATTTTAAATATAGTTTATGTGCAATCTCTTACTGCTATCCACAATTTTCAATATAGTCCTGCCTCATGCTCAAATCTTAGGCGCTTTCATTCCATAGTATTCACATTATATGTATATATAACACCTTGCAGAATTATTCACTCTTTTTCAACCTTTCCTTGATTAGCATTTGATGGACTGGCAGTTTTTTTGGTGTGGCTTGTTAGTGCCTGGGGGAATCTTTTGTTGAGAAGTGATTTCCACATGTTGTTACATCCTAGAACTGAATTAAATTATATACATAATGCTTTTTCTCATTCCATTTCATGACACCCCAAACATTTTTGTTAAGATTCAAATTATGATCTCTGACTGAAATGGAAGATGAAATCAGAACCTTGAGGATATATGACCAATGTGAGAATCCGTGAACTGTCAGTAAGCTATAAGTAAGGTAAAAGGTCGCAGCTTGTGCAATACAATTTCCAACTTGCATAGCACTTTTGTAAATATTGTTCCAAATTATTAAAAACAATATTACAAGATGAGAGAAAGGTACAGAATATACATATTATGGAAACATCACCCACCTGTTATAGAACTGGCCCCTTCCTGGGCCATCCGCGTACCAGTTCTGCTTTGGCCTATCCCAACCATCTTCCTGGAAATTTCTGTTTGGCATATACTGATTAATGAAAAACATTTCAGGTTAAAACACTACAAACCACAACAACCACCATGAAGCACTAGTATTGAAGACTGTTTGGCTCAGCATGCTGATGGTTTACTGAACAAAGTGATTGCAGTACACTCCGTTACACTGAAATCCAGCTTTAGCCAGTACATCCAATGGTGAGGAATCATGGGATTTGCAGTCCCATATCTGATGGACCTCTGACTTTTTTGAAAAAAAATATATATGATACCAGCAGCAGAAGTTTGGTTTTCTTTCTTAGTGTTATGCATTTTAAATTTCTGGCCACCAAATCAAGCTTCAGAAATTGAAATTCTGAACAAACCAATAATTGAATATTTAAATAATTTAGGAGCAGGGTAATGATGGAACTGAAATTCTACCAGCATGACAATGCCAAGAACAACAACATTTTGTCTTATTTAGTCAACTTTGAACTACACAAGCTGAAAGGCCAGGGATTTGCTTATGGAATGGTCTTAGGGGTATGCAATCCATTCTGTTTTTGTTCTGTTTCCATTTTGAATTTTGGATACCTCCCGTTCTGTTTTTGGAAAGATTCCGAGAGATTAGAAGGTGGATCATTCAGATTCATAATTCAAAACCCTAAGTTCAGTTTCGGTTTTGGGAAGAATTTTCCCAAAATAAGAACAGGGGAGGGGGGCATTCGAAACAAGAACTATCTCTTCTGGCAGGCCTACACAGTCAGTTTTAATCACAAATTTTAAGCTGCGTCCTATGTTTAATCTTTGTCCTGTGTATTATAATATGTATTTTGGAGAAATATGTTTTAATATGTATATTGCTAGAATGTTTTAGCAATGTTGTAAACCACCTCGAACCATGAGGAGAGGTGGGTAAGAATAATAATAATAATAATAATAATAATAATAATTATTATTATTATTATTATTATTATTAGGCAATAGAAATTTCTAATTCTGAAAGACTTCAGCTATTTGTTGATGGCTAGTCCCAGACTGTCCGGGATCTCACCCTTCAGAATTCATAATTTTAGCAACTCTCCTTGATGTTGTCACTGAAATGATTCGTCTTGATATTAGTATGAAAATTCATTATACTTAATGTCTATTTTCAAATAATATATAACTAAAGTCTCGACTTCACAAATACTAGATGGCAAACAGTGGAAATTATAGTTTGCCTGCTCTAATTGCAATGATTTATAAACTAAACTGATGAAATGTTGGCATTGTCAAAACAACGACTACTACCCGGGCTTTTATTTTATCCACATTAGTTATTTGATCCAATACTTTGTATATTTTCATTTATTGTTGCTTCTAACTTTGACTTATCGAACCTCTGTAGTCTCCATCTATTAAAATTAACACACATATATTCTTGATTAAAAATCCCTAGCCACTCATTTGCTGTTGCTTTGAAAGTATCCAAAATTACTAAAACACTCCATTTTTCTCCAACCTTTTTCTTTTTAAATTAATTAAATAGGATTCATTTACTTCCTTCATATGTTTATCTGCATTTTTTCCTTGAAGACATGTTGTAATCTAAGATTGGATCTATCCCTAATTATCATTCCGAATGCATTGTTTAAGACTTCAAACTAAGGAAACTTTGGCTGCTCTGATAGGAATGGTCAGTTTTCCTCTGGATATCAGTTTATACTACACTCCCTTGTTTTGCTAAAAGCAAAGGTTCTCTATGGATTCAGAAGCAATAAGCAATCAGAATCCAAACTATTTTATTTTAAAGCAACACAAGCATTCTAGAAGAATACACACCTTGTAAGCTTAATTCTCCTATCAGTTGTTGGAAATCCCAAGATAAACAGTGAAGAACATAGTCAACATGCAGCACCTTCCCAATCTTAGCCTGCATCCAGGTTCAGTATTAAGTTGAACTGTGAGGTCTTTTATACCTTGCCAGGTTGGGGTGCTATGTGCTGCTCAAGGCAACATCCTAATGAAACACATCTGGTTTTTTGACAATGGGATCTTCTTGTACCACATAAAAGATAAGGCAAGACAGGTGAGCATCAGCCAACTTTACTGATTAAGGTATCCTCCTGCATTCTAAGGCCTTATGCTCCTGATCAGTTCTGACCTCGAAACTATCCAGCAAAAAAGTCCTTAAAGGAGACTTAACCTTCAGTCTTTTGGGGCACTAAGGGTCTCTCCCAACCATAAAGCTCAATGTTGGGGTTATGAAAAGTTTGACAACAGTAATAGGTGTCTGAATACCACCTAGATATTTATACAAATCCGTTAGCAACAACATGCAGTGTTTACAGTGGGCTCTGAAGAAAATTTGTTGTACTCTACAAAAAGGAAAATCAGCTTGTTTAGCAAGACTTGCTAATGCTGATTAAGTATGAGTAAATATTTAATTTTTATACCTATCTTATATACCTATATAGACAGGCAAAAATTCCTCGGGTGGAAAAGAGTCATGACAAAATTTCTTGGGTGGAAGGAATTGCAAGTAGAAAAAGTTTTAAAAGCCCTGTTTTAGCGGACATAGAAATGGATAGGACAATTGTGGTACACCAGGCCTATCTCCTTGAATGGTTTTTCATAGGTTTTCCCTACATCTCCTTCATGGATTCGTTTGTTCTTCCTATTTATTTACAGTCTTGTAGTTGTGATTGTTAATGATACCTCACATTATGTGCAAATATGAAACAATGTTAGACACACTCAGAATTGTCTCCTTTAATGTTCCTAAGGTTTGGACATTAAAAGGACATGGATCTTAAAAATCATCAAGCATATACTTCTGAAATTGTGTTCCTTAGGAAACACAAAGAATGACTTTGGTTGTAATTTTCTCATTATTTACAATTCAAAGAATAATTTCTGGGAACTCAACCAAAGCCTGAGGTAACAGCAATTTTAATTTCCAAAATGCATCTTCTACAAATTGAAGATGTTATGAGGAATCTGTGTGGGAGATTTTTCTTAGTTTACTTCATTGTACTATAACACAGAGAACTTTTATTTCAACCAACATTAGTCAGGTTTGCTTTGTGCAAAATTTCCCAGATAACTTAAACCCCTTTGCAATGGACAATATTATGGTTAGCTGGTGGTGACCTCAATGAGGTCCTGTACTACAATTTTGATTTGTCTGAACTTAGATACTAATGAATGTATTACATTTCTGCAACTAAGCAAAATGATTGCTCATAATTCCTTTCTTAATAATTTGATTTCTGAGGAAACAATTTGTTCTTATTCATATATGCTTTAATGCATCTTTAAATTAAAACGTATTCTACACAAACCTTATTCAAAATAAGCATATTAAAGAAAAAGCTTCAAGGAATGAAATTGGTTTTTTTTCTATCTAATATATTATTTTGAATCATGCAGAAGGGGAAGTATGACAAGGAATACATCTATACTATAGAATTAGTGCAATTTAACACCACTTGAATTACCATGGCTTAATGCTATAGAATCATGGGAATTGTAGTTTGGTGAGGCTTCTAAAGACTTCAACTGTTTTATTAGAATGTGCAGTCAACAAAAACAGTGAAAAATTATTAACATCTAATTTTAAAAAGTGCATGTACACAGAATGCACTTAAAACAAGATGGAATGATATTAAAATAACAAAAAATATATCACATATATTATGGTTGATTCAAATTGAATTCGTTAAAATTGTCACAAAAGTAGTACATTGTATTAGTGTGTCTGGCAAGAAAAACAAATACAGCAAGAATGATTTCACTATATGGGATAGTCTCTCTACTTTGCTATAGTGTACAGCACTATGAGCTTCCAATTACATATGGGAATTGAAAACATTTTGCTTGTACACTTCTGTTCCTTTGATAGAAGGAATATATGCAAACTTCTCTGTTGTTAAAAAAATAGTAGCCAGAAAACAATAGGGAAACCTAAGTAGCAAAGGCAACAACTTACAGCCTGAGGAAACCAAGGTCCACGTCCTCTTGTGGGGTACATCTCTGAATTCAAAAAAATAAGCCACTTCTAAATATTTCAAGCTCTGTGGAGAGAAAAAAATAAAGTGACTGATCGTTTTTTTAAAGGATGCATTCATCTTTTCAGTACTATACAAATCAGCCAATAGTTCAAAGCACAGTCACTTTTCCCCTTCTGTTCATAAGCAGCTTCCGGCCACTTTTCCTGCCTTGTTCATTTTATTATTTCTACTCTGTCGCGTTTGTCTCTGTTGCATTCGACAACATAAAAAGCACACTGGTTTGGTTTTTACAGCCCTAAACAACTTGTGTTCAAACTACCTGAAAGACTAAATCTCTCTATACAAGCCAATATTAATTTTTAGATCTGCAGGGCCACATCTATACTTGTGGGAGCTGAATAAATCAGAAATTTAATCAAGAAGGGAAATTTTATATGGCGAGATTTTTACTTGAATCATGAATAGCTTTTGCTGATCTCTGTAACTGATTTCTGCATTTAGAAACGGCGGACTTCTGTATTTTGGATAAGACTCTGAACCTCACATCTAGACTTGTTGATTTTCTGAACTATGTGTAACTCCTAGTCATAAGAAATGCTTTAAGCAATAGTGTGGTCCAAATATGGATGTGGAAGGGAAATCATGAGTTATCACCACGCATGTCTGAAATGTATCTAAAGTAATAGGTTGACTGCACATGTTTATAACAACAGTATAACTACTTGGCCCTGTGCTTAGCGTGGTGTAGCAGTCTGTTTGCAACATGAGTTCGGGCTGCTACCCCGGTTGATGTAAAAACCAGTAAACAGCCTTGAAACCTGGTTGCCTTGTCTGCCTGGTTCCTCTTTCTAATGCCTAAATGAACTGAATTATTCCACAACATACTGGCCATGTAATGCAATTTCAAACTGAAGAAAGTGGTTTTGCTGTGCAGATGATTACATGCACAAAATCAAGCTTTTTGACATACCAGTCTCACACATTCTATTTTTTAGCAGCAGCAGCAGTGAAATCACAGCAGCAAAAGAGGACAGTTCACTGATTAACGTTTGCTCATGTACATGATTAAAATCAACCCCTAATCCCCTCCCCATTACTTAATTTTAAAAAGGGCACCTCTGCAATTTTCAAACCTTCAGAGACAATTGCCTCGGCCTTTTGTCTATTCCCGTTATCTTATACAGGCAACTACATCATCATTTTGTCGTCTATGCCTGTTCACAATTTAGACAGTTGCACTTCTCACTGTCTTGACCTTTTGGGCAAGCCTTAGATTAGTTTTAACTCAACTATCCATCTGATTAATGTATTGTCGAAGGCTTTCATGGCTGGAACCACTGGGTTGTTGTGTGTTTTCCGGGCTCTATGGCCATGTTTCAGAAGCATTCTCTACTGATGGAGAAGGTTGGTGTGAATGTAGCAATTTGCATATGCTAATCAAGGTGACCAATTGCTACATTCGCACCTATCTCAGACAAGAGTTCTTTCTCCTACCCTGGACATTCCACAGATTTAGACATTCCACATAAATCCAGGAAGTAAGGAAGTAAGTAAGTACATAAATCCCATTTTCCTAGCTCCCAACAGATCTCACATCCTCTGAGAATGCCTGCCGTAATTACACTATCAATAACACTGATCAACACACATTTCAGTGCTTCAAAGGTTAGACCTGTTCCTGAGCATATTTGACCTGCTGCTTCCACAGATAGCACCAGTTTCCCCCTCTCAGCTCTAGTGTTTGAGATAAGAACATATGCCTATCAGTCGCCATCTGCTTGCCCACAGAAAACCATGATAACTATATATATATATATATAAAGACACTAGAGTTGATGTGATCTATCCAACACAATTTCAGCTCCCCAAATAACCCAAAATCTGGTCAAAAAACCAAGACAACAAGAATTTGTTGTGTTTGGGGGTAGGCAGGGCTGTATATAAAAAAAATACAAAATGCTCCTGGAGATTAGGGTAAACTCAACACAAGGAGCTGCCTTTTACCAAAATGCTTAATTTCTCTGATAAATGGGAAGCCCCCAAATTACAAACATCCAGCTCACATAGTTAAGAACGGGGTGAGATAACAGGAAGTGAAAGAAATCTATCCCTAGGAAAAAAAAATTACTCCTGAAAGAGTTATTATAGGGAAAAGGTGTTTTCACTGTAGCTTTATTGCCAATCCCTGTTTCCAGAATAAGCCAAATTTTTCAAAATTCAATTATTACAGGGACAGAACGTGAGGTGGAAATCTTCTGAACAGCAGCACAGACAGCAGAACAAACACCACAGGGGTTTTTTTTTTAAATCATCTTTATTGAGAATTTTCTTAAAAAGTGTATATAGGTAAAATAAAGAAAAGAGAAGAAAGAAAAAAAATGTAAAAAGAAAAAAAGAAAAAAAATAAAAAGAAAAAAAATAAAAAAGAGAAAAAAATAATAATAAAAAAGAAAAAAGAAAAGACCGCTTCGACTTCCTGGTGTCTTCTGAGGGTCTTCTGACCTTTCTTCTTCTAAGAAGAAAGGAGAAAAAAAAATGCATGTATAGAAGAAAAAATAATGAAGTAAAGTTCTTTATTTTCCTTCCAATCTCTTCGTTCTCTCCCCTCTTTTCTTCTATGTTCGCCTATTATTTCCAGTTCTTTTCTACTTTTTGGATCCAAGTCTCTTTTTTCTTTTTCCTTAGGTATTCGATGACCTCCTTCCAGTCTGTTTCTTTTCTTCCTGTTTCTTTGTTTTTCAATAATAAAAAAGTCAGTCTGTCCAAATTGCTAATGTCCAGTAGCTTTATTACCCATTCTTCTTCTTCTGGTATCTCAGTTTGTCTCCATTTTTTTGCATAGCACATTCTTGCAGCTGTGAGTGCTAGAAATAGTATTTTGTCTTTCTCTTTTTCTATACTGTTATCATGCATTCCTAATAAGAACAGCTCCGGTTTCATTGGCATCTTTATTTTTAACATATTTTGAATTTCTTTTTGTATCTTCCTCCAGTAATCTTTCGCTTTTTCACATGTCCACCATAGGTGGAAGAAGGAACCCTCCTTCTTCTTGCACTTCCAGCACGTCGAGTTTGTATTCTTATATATTTTCCCTAATTTTTTTGGCGTTAAATACCACCTTAGTGCCATTTTAATCCAGTTTTCTCTAAGCTCCGTGGCATATGCATATTTTAGTCTTTTTTTCCAAATTTTTGTCCATTCCGTTTGTTTAATATTTCTTCTTAGGTTTTCATTCCATCTTCTCATATAATTTTTGTCTTCTTTAGTTTCTAATTGCCATTCTAATAATTTATTGTTTATTTTTGTTATTAATTTCTTTTCTGTTTCCAAGATTTTATCCCAAAAATCTTTCCCTTTTGAGAAGCCCAATTCTTTGTTTTATATTTCTCTTTGATTTGCCAATATTGTAGCCATGATATTTTTTTATCAATAGTAATTAGTTCCTGCTGTTCTTTTAGTATTAGTTCTCCCTGATGAATTTTTAAGATTTCTTTGTATTTTGGCCAATCATTCCACCCCATACATCTCCTTTGGCTTGCCTCAAGCGGTGATACCCATAACGGCGTTTTTGTATAGAATTTCTTTTTATATTTTTCCCATATTTTTAAAATTGCGGATCTCACAAAGTGATTTCCAAATTTTTTTTCCTTTTCCTTCCCTTTATACCATGTGTAAAGATGCCACCCTCCCCTAAGGTCTATTCCTTCCAAAGTCAGTAACTTCTTCTTTTTTAACAATGCCCAATCTCTTGCCCACACTAAAGCACTTGCCTCATAATAGAGTTTGAGGTCTGGAACTGCTAGTCCTCCTTTGTCTTTTTGTTCAATTAAATTATTATAATGAATTCTTGGCTTTTTATTGTTCCAGATGAATTTCGTTATATCCCTATTCCATTCTTTAAATAATTTCATATTTCTTATTATTGGTAAATTTTGAAAGATAAATATCATTTTCGGCAGTATCTTCATTTTGATTGTTGCCACCCTTCCTAGTAAAGATAAATTTTTATTTTTCCATTTCTCCATCTCTTTTTTGATTTCCTTCCATTTATTGAGATAGTTGTTTTGTAACAAATGTAGGTTCTTCGCTGTGAGGTTAATTCCCAGATATTTTAATTTTGTTACTATTTGTACATTCCATTTTTTCCCTATTTCCTCTTGTTCTTTCTTATCTATATTTTTTGTTATTGCTTTTGTTTTTTCCAAATTAATTTTAAAACCTGCTACTTCTCCAAATCTTTTTATTTCATTTAGCCATTGATCCAATTTATTTTTTGGGTTTTCTATTATACAAATTATATCATCTGCGAAGGCTTTATACTTATACTCTTGTCCTTGGATTTTCGCTCCAACCAGATTTTTTTCCTCTCTTATTTTTCTCAATAGTACCTCTAATGTTAATACAAATATTAAGGGGGACAGGGGACACCCCTGTCTTGTTCCCTTCTCTATTTTTATTGTTTCTGTTTCCTGACCATTTACTATCACTTTAGCCTCCTGATTTTCATATATCGCTTCCACCGCATTTTGGAAATAAAAGCCCATGTCTATTTCTCTAATTAAATGTTTGAAAAAATTCCAGTTTACGTTATCAAACGCTTTCTCAGCGTCTACTGCCATGAACATTACTTTTTTTTGATGATTAATTTCAAAATATTCAATTAAATCAATTATAGTCCTGACATTCTCTTTTTGATATCTATTGGGTAGGAATCCTGCCTGATCTTCACTATATATGATGCAAGTACTTTTTTTTAGTCTTTCTGCTAGTATATTACTAAAAATTTTGTAATCTACATTCAGTAGAGATATGGGTCTGTAATTTCTTACTTCTTCTGGGTTAGAATTTTCCTTGTGTATTATCGATATGTTTGCTTGTTTCCATGAATTTGGAATTTCTTTATTTACTCTTATATTGTTCATTATCTCCTTTAGATAGGGCACTAATTCTTGTTGGAATGTTTTATAATAACCTGAGGATAAGCCGTCAGGGCCTGGAGCTTTGTTAGGTTTTAAATTTCTTATTGCTGTTTCTATTTCTTGTTCTGAGATTTCTTTATTCAA